CCAATCCTTGGGAATAATCTAATTTGCTATTTCCTTTCAACTATGACTTTGTTTATGATTGTTTTAGTTCTTTTCTCTAACATGAGTAACTAAGTCCATAACTAGGACTATGAGAATTCTTGTTTATAAATTTATATGATTTTGATGTTTAAATCTAAGTTTGATTTCTTTTCGAGATTAGTGTTTGTCGTATTGTACACAATTATATATTGTGAATTGACCATTCATAATATAATCCTAATTAATTATATCGTAAGCGACCATACTACGATTAGTTAATGGATTAGGATAAAACGAGACAAAGGATTAGGTGGATCAAACTAACATTTCTCTTTCAATCGTTATTAAATTAATAAGTTCATAAATATTTTATTTTCTTTAATTGATATCTTGCATGACCATTGTGAATGTTAATTTAGAGAAAATAATATTATTACATGACCATTGTATATTGATAGTATTTGTTTGAATTATTGGTAATCACAAAAAAATTAGATTTTAGTTGAACAGAAGACTAAGATAAAGGATTGAATAAGTAAACACATATACCCTAAGTTTCTCCCCTATAAGTTCAGCCAAGAAGTGTGTGATGTTACTTATTTTAAATTTCATTGATAATTGATTTATTTTTAAACATGCTTAATATAAAATGTTATTATTTAAACAATTAAATCAAGAAACTCTTAGTAATTGAAAACAATCATTGTGGGACGATAATTCGAGAACTTATTTTAAAACTCTTTATTACTTTTCAACGGGTACACTTGCCCATAAATAACTATACACAAAGATATTACCTTTGGTAAGAGTTCTTCTAATCAATTATAAGGTGTAGACTTAAATTTAATTGATGATGATCAACCTCTATTGAGAGCATGTATACTCATGGTTACTTTCGTTGTAATTTGTATTTAATTTTATAAAATATATGTTTACGTAACAATGAAATATATGGTAATGTAGAAAGTGAATACAATGACAACAACATTGATGACAATGAAAATGAATGGAAAATTCCATTAGATAGTTCATCTAATATTGATTTTGAGGTGTAATTTTGATTTAATGTTGAATATAGTTAACAATCCATAAGAAAGAGGTATTTGTAAAGACTAAAAGATTAAATTTTTTAATTAACAAGTAAAACCAAATAATATATTATGTGGTTGTGATTTAGGTGTGGTTGAAACTACTTTTTGAATGTAAGTCCATACTACACTTATATTAATTGGAAACTTGTTGATCAAGAAATAGAAAATTTAGATTTGCATGCTTTAAAACATGGAGATTAAGAGAGAGATGCATTATATGTTGGACAAATGTTTGAGTCTAAAGAGGTTTTAAAATGACTATTAAACATTTTGCAATGAAAATACATCAAAAATTTTTGTGGTGATGGAACACATACATGTGTTAATCCAATGATGTCTCTAGACTACAAAAAAAAAATATATTAAAACTTTATCTTCTCATGCATTCTTGATAAGTTTGATTTAACTAAGTTATTGTTATAGAAATAGCTTATTTGTAATGTACCAACGTTTGACATAATTGATATCTTGCAAGTATGGTTAAAGAATAACCATCAATGTTAATCATATTAATTTAAGGAAGAATAAGTAGTTAATTTGGTTATAAAGTTTCGTACAGGAAAGAATGGAAGGATAAACAAAAAGTCATTGTAAGAGCTTTTGGTGACTAGAATGCATCATATGCTACATTGTCAATATGGTTAAAGTACATGCAATTACATGTTTTAGGGTCTGTTTATAAAATTGAAACCAATGAGTATGTAATTGGTCATTCAGTGGATAACTGATTTAGAGTCTTTCATTAGTTGTTTTGGTCCTTCAGACAATGTCAAAGTGTTTTCAACTTTTGTAAATCTTTAATATAGGTAGATGACACATTCTTGTATGGTAAGTACCAACAAACATTACTCATTACTACAAATCAAAATGACAATAATTGTGTGATTCTAATTGTGTTTGCAATTGTGGAAGGGGAAATTTGTCAGCATAGAATGGTTTTTGGCACTTATCCGTCTTTACTTAATAGAAAAGGCAAGTCTTTGCTTGATAGATATCAAAACATCAACTGTGGAATTTCTAATTCATATATTGTGTGGCAACCTCTAAACAACTATCATGTGTATTGCATTTATCACATTGTAAGAAATTTTAATTAACGATTAAAAAATACAAATTTAAAAAAAGATCTAATAAGATTAGGTACAAATCTTGTTATTAATTTTATTTTATCATGTTTTAATTATTAATTCTGGTAGTTTTAATTCTTTCTTTAATACTATGTTACTCTCTTAATAAGATATACAATGTGCAAGCAAAGATTTGAGGAGAAACTTCAAAGGTTTCGTAATGAATCAAAAGACATAAAAATCTAAATTGACTGTATCTAAAAAGAAAAATAGATGTAGACTTATGATGAGGAATGACGACATTATGGACACATGACTACTAATTTATCTAAAGTTGTCAACCAAATATTAAAAGGTGCAAGAAACCTACAATGTATGTATAAATGTCTAGTTGAGTATTTGGTAAAGCATGATGAAAAAGCAATAATTGAGCTTAATAATGGTAATAGATATTGTCATAAATTGATATAAAAATAGAAAAAAAAAGTATCTTCACATAAAGTTCGACGATATGACATACAAAGAACAAAGTTTGAACTTGAAGAAACATTTAATCCAATAACATAAAGGGGTTATTCATAAGTGGACTGTGATATTATTGAGACAATTTTATGAATGTGGAATGTTTTAAGCATATCGATTTTCAAGCTCACATATTATAGTTACTTATACTATAGTCAGTATGAATTTTTGGCAATGGATTGATCTTTTTTATTTGGTGCAATATGTTGTTAATGTCTATTGATTTGAGTGGTGACTTCTTGGAAATGAAAACAACATTTTAATATCTAATGAATAGAAGTTACTACCTGACGAGCAAATAACACAGGGAAAAGATTTTTCAAAGTCTACTTGTGTTAGAAATGAAATGAACTGAGTTAACTCTCAACCACGATAATGATGTACTTTATGCAAACAAATTGGTCACAATTAACATCAATGTCCAAGGAAAACTCAACGCGACAAAGATAATGGGTAGTTTCATGCAATTTTATTGTAAGTTTACTTTGTATGTTATTAAGTATGAATATTTGAATGTCTTATGTAGTTCAATATTAATAATGATGGTAAGGTTATTTATTATATATGAATGACTTATTTAATTGTTTATGAATTTTGATTTTCTGGTTATTAACAACATTAATAATAAATACATAACATATCTAATAAGATATACTATGAACTGAATAATATAACCTAATTATATAGTCATCTGAACTCATAACCAGAAAGCAAAAAAAGCGAACATAATAAAAATAAGGAAAATAATACCAATGATATCATTGTTATGGGTCATGCTAATTTGGATCCTGATGTGAGTAAGGATGTAGTGACAAGGTCGATCTCTGGTCTCTTAATCAAGATTGTGTCGCATATCCTGTTGTCCTACATCTGCAATGGTGCTAACTAGGCATTCAGATCAATGTCATGATCCCCTAATGAGACTACAAAGGGCACTCCCACTACCTCAAACACTAGACCTAATGCAGACGGTATGAACAGTAATGGATTGTATGAAGGGGGTGTGATGAAAAATGTAAACTTAGGAACATAGTCATGTCTGCTACTGAACAAAGAAGCAAGGTATGTGGTAGGATAGGATGAGTTAAAGTAGAAGCTCTATGTAGATCGAGAATGGATAAATAAAAATTGTCAAGGGACATAATATACATTATCTCATTTAACTAGCAAAAGGGGTATTAAACCATGCCACAACCTTCACTTTTGTCCGACATCGTTGCAAACCTCTACCTTCTTTGTGTCCCTCATGCTGTTTAGTATCAATGTTTGGCTCTTTTGTGCTTCACTTTGAACAAGTGAGTCAACTGATGATGTGAATGGCTGCGTAAGAGATTTTTCTTTCTTCTTTTTTAGGCTCTGCTTTTGAAGCACGACCTTACTTATGGCCATATATGACCGTGCATATTAAGTCTGCTTAAGCATGCTTATCGTAGCACGGTCGTGCTTCTTCTGAAGCAAAGACGTGCTTAGTGGGATGCAAGAGTATGCTTGTAGGGAGTGCATGCGTGTGCTTCTTTGTAAGCACGGTGTGCTTGCTTCCCTATTCTGAGTTTCGAATAGATTTTTCTCACTCCTCAAATTGATGATATTGCATTGCTCCCTTGAATTATGTTCAGGCTGGGTTGACAATGTTCCTAATGTCTTTTGACTTAAAAGATTAGTTAATTACTCCAACTGTAACTTGATCTTTGAAGATTGTGATCTAATCTCTGATTTAATTTCGGTGAACCTTTTGTCTTCTCTTTCAATATTTTACTATAACTTATATTCAAGTTCTGTCATCCTCTTATTAGAATAATACACACACTGCATCATTTGCTCTTGAAAGTTAGACTAAGATCTAGGGACCTCCTTCCCCTCTAGTCTTTCTCCTTGGTTTTTGCATATAAGAAAGGAGATAAACATTTGAAATTTGGCTTCTAAAGCCATCCCCTAAGTTATAATTATTGCCCATAAAATTATCATGACCTAAGGAACTATAGTGCTTACATATAGAGGTTGCATATAACTTTGTTGATTGTCCTTGTACTTTCATTAGCGATTCTACCTACTTAGTCAAAGCTTCTATTTGAGTTTTTAGTAGATTATTGATTTCTAGTGGATTATTGATTTCTGCTAAATAGACCGAAGCAATCTCCTTCTTTCTAATCATGTAACGGTCAATCATGTGTCACTAAAAACTAGCAAATGCTATCTTATCTACCAATTTATATGCCTCATCTGGATATTTTCTCATGAGGGTCTATCTATTGTATCAACTGTGGCCCTAGTGGAGATTGATAATCCACTAAAAAAAATTTACATATGTCTCCACATAGGAAAACTATGATGAGGACACTTCCTCATAAGTTTTTTAAGTTATTCTCACACTTCAAATAGGGATTCAGACCTATGCTATTGAGAATTGAACATTTCTACCATAAGTTTACTAGATCTAGATGAGGGAAAGTATTTTTCTAAAAATTATTGAGTTAGATCCTCCCATGTTATGATGGAACCTGCTAGAGCATGAAGAACCATGCATTCACCTTTTATGTGATAGAAAATGGAAAATAACGAAGTATAATAGCATCATTGTATGACGTCTGTAAGTTGAAGAAATTTTGTTATATGGTGGTTGGGTCTTCATTAAACATTCATCCAAATTGTGTAAAGTTTTGAACTATAGTAATCAATGTCAGCTTTAGCTCAAAATTATTAACCTCCACATTAGGGGCCACAAATACTTCTAGAAACACCTCCACTAGTAGGTGTAATATAATATTGGATTGATCTTCTTCCCTTTGTCATCTTTTGCTTTCTCAACTCTTTCCTTTGTTTTTGCATAGTCTTTTCAATTTCCGAATCAAATAAATAAGTTGTAAAAAACTTAGAGCGAGTAAGCATGTAACAAAGAAAATTATTTAAAATAAAATTAAAAATAAAGATTAACAAAATAAAATAATCAAAACAATAAATTTATAAATAAGAATTATTCAAATTAATTAAATATTAGATTTTATTAATATTGGGAAAATAATCTCCCAAAATGGCATTATAAACTTGTTCATGAACAAGTGTACTTGTTGAAAAGTAATAAAAAAAATTATAAAATAAACTCCTAAAATATCATCCTATAAGAATTGTTTCCAAATACTAACAATTTCTTAACTCAATTGTTTGAACTTAAAGGATATAAAATTAAATAAAATAATTATTCAAATATGAAAGTAATTAAAAAGAATTAAAATGCAACCTCTAACAATAAATTGATTAAGAAGAACCTAGGGTACATGATTTTACCTTTACACTTCTCTATATTTACTTTTAAATTAATTTTAATTTCGATCTCTTGACAATTGTCAATCCCTCATATTAAATTTATTAACATTCTATTATCATGCAATGTTAATAATCTTTAATTTATTAACATCCAAATGTCATACAATATTAATAATCTTTTTTCTAAACCACTACCCCCAATAGTCATGCAAGGTAAAAAGCAGAAAAAACATAAAAAATTTATGAGCTGTTAATTTAATAATGATTGTAAGAGAAAAACTAAGCTTAGTCCACTTAATCGTGTGTCTCATTTTACCTTATAGATATATTAACTATATATGATACGATCGCTTATAATATAATTAATTATGATATATATATATAAATTATCAATTATGAACGTACAAGTATAATGCAATAGGATAAAAATCAATTAATAAAATAAACTAAAATTATTATGAATCACAAAGATAACATAGAGTCATATAAAGAATCCATTATAGTCCTAGCTACGAATTTAGCTAGACATAATATAATAAAAAACTAAAATAATAATAAATTAATTCATAGTTATTCGAAAAATAAATGTAAACTAGACGAGTCAACGATGAAGAAGAGATAAAGGAAGCTCTTGATCGTAATCAAAACTCGAGATTGAAGATGTAAAAAAAAGATACTTAAGTCACTGCTCCTAAGGTTCCTTAAATAGGGTTTAGAGTCTAAAATAGATGTTGTTGTTTCCTCCAAAAGATATGCTTTATTTTTAATAAGGATATAACATATCAAGAGAAATATAATTTATCAGATTTAAAATTAAATTTCTCTCTTCACAAGTTCTTTAAAAATTTTCAAGTAAGATGCACAAGAAGAAAAGAGCACACTAATATGCATGCGGTACATATAACTCAAAACATGAGTGTGCTTGTTGCTGAAGCATGAGCATGCTTATTGTTAAAGCATGAGGGTGTTTATTTTATTTTCTTTTAATTCATGTTTAAAACACATTAATAATTAGTTGTAAAATCTATTCAAATAAAGATCAATATATGTAAAAATTAAGTATAAAAGTATGATAAAATAAAAACTTATCAATAATCAAATAAATTTATGACTCTTTTTTTTCATTGTTTAAAATTTTTTGAATTGGTAGTATGAGATATGTGAATGAGTGTACCCACCTTGTATTATTATGCAACTGGAAATACATCCACACACTGTGGCATGTTATGATCATTGTATAAGCATGGTCATGGGTATAGTTTTTGGTAGTCTAAGAACAAACTATTGTCTAACTTTTGCTATAAATATTTAAAGGTAAATGGGACATTAGTCTGAGATCGATATGAAAGAGGTTACGCATAAAGAAAAGTTAGAGATGAAGGCAGTGGAATCAATAAATATGAAACACTGTGAGTGAGATGGGAAAGTCAATTTTAAATTTGAATATGATAAATTTCTCTATAACATAATTGCATGTATTTATTTTTATATTTGATTATCTTTCCTTTATTGTACTTTTTTATTTTCTTGGTGCATCCTTGCCTTCTAATTAAACTGTACAAAACAACTGGAATAAAAAGTAGGAATGTACTTAAAGGATCAAATATTATCGTGAAAGATGGTCAAACAAAAAATATTAATTTTATCATCATATGTCTTTCTGAAGATAACATTTTTATAAGAATAGAAGTATTAATTATATTTTTAATTAAAGATCATTAATTTTATATACTTAAAATTCCACGTATAATTATTTTGAAGTTTGATAAAAAAAATATTTATTAAAAAAATTACACATAATTTATGTAAATTATTTTCACTTTATATTTGATAAAATGTTATTACACTTAAAATGACTTTATTACAATTTCCTTAAGTCTCGGGTCTGGTAATGTGCTTAGTCTTCTCTTGAAAAGAAAAAGTCATGACAGAAGGTAACCTAATTTTCTGAAAAAGAGGAAGATAAAAGGACGTGGTCACCTTTCACGGTGTGTATCTGATAATTTGTCTGTTCTAACATCCAAATTTCGAAGAGTTGGAATAAATAATAAAATTAGAAAGTGAAAAGGGAAATGATTTTGGAGTTTTTGTAGAGAAATATATTTCCAATTTTAGAAACCATAGTCCATAGAGCATAGTGAATATGAAAGAAGTTGAAATTATAATTTAGTCCAAATTGTGGTTAGTCTTAGCGGCAGTCTTTCCACAAGTAGGCAGTGCATCACATGTACAAATTTTTGGATTTCATGCAATTGGCGGATCATGTGTTGCAACTTGCAACTTGCAAAACTGACCAATGCCTGCAAATTTCTGTCCCCCTCACTAAAATATGCAAATATTCCCAAATTTTGTAACAAATGTCTTAAAATATATACACACAGCCTTCTCAAGTCAAGGAAAAGTTTTAAAAAATTGTATATACTTTACCTAAGTCTTTCGTACAATTAAGTAATAAATTATAACTCATTATATATAAATTAAATAAAAAATTTAGATTTATACTAATATAAGAAGATTATGCTTTATATATATATTTTAAAATCTATTTTTAAATATTTAAAATTAATCTAAAAAATTAGTATTAAAAATTGTTATTTTTTACATAATTAAAAATATTTAATGCAGTGTAAAATTTTCCTTAGTAAATATTATTAGGAAACTAATTAATAAGATTGGACAGAAAGTTCTATATATTTTGGGCTGCTTTTACATTTTTATTTTCCTTTTTACCAAGCGTTAAAATCTGACAGCTCTATACAAATAGATTGTTCTCGTATCAAATTGCTGTAATGCTGATTAACAAAATCTGTAATAAGTATTGGTTGTGGCGTTAACATTTTTTTTAGAATACTATATTTCGTTCTTTCTATAAGACTCCTTTAAAAGGTTTATTTTGATTTTTTTTTATAATCTTTTAAATTTGCTTTTATAATTTTTTATGAACAAATTTACAATCAAACAGGATAATTTTTTTTTTTTTTACTTTTTCACTCTCATGAAGTTAAAGTAAAATGACTAATCATAATTACTTCCCTCATTCATAAGAATTAATGAAGGAGAAAGAGATTAAGTGTAATTTTAAAAAAATTACATAAATAATTAAAAAAACTGGCGTAACTAAATAAATAATTTCAAAATTATATAAATACATTTCTTAATTTTTGTGAAATAGTTAAAAGGGTCCTGTACTTTAGACCAAATATAGTACAGGTTAATTGATTTCCTTTTTAATTATCATTTTGCAAAAAATATATTCACTTTTATTTATTCAAATTTGATTTAAAAATTTATTATTATTATTATTATTATTATTATTATTATTATTTACACATTTATTTTTATTTTTTTATATTTTTATCAAAAAATGAGATGATAAATTATTGAAAAGTATAAAATTTAAAAATATATATAAATAGTAGAGATACTAATGTACTTTTTTAACTATACTTAAAAAGTAGATAAAGCACTAATCGATCCCTTGTTATATTTGTTAAAATAAAATAAAATGTATTTATTATATAAAATATAAAATTATTTAAATTTTATTTAAATAATTAAAATTAATAAAAAATAAAAATCATTATGTAATTAATCAATAAATTTAACTCATTTAATAAAAATTTACTAAAGGTGTTTTTAGATATATAATTTACTTAAACATTTATTTACTAACTTTCCAAAATTAATAATTTATGTCATAAATTTAATAATACAATTTATTAAAATAAATTAAAAATAACTTCTTTTTAACAATGCTTACCAAAAATTTGTTAAAATTAGTTTTAAAAAAATTATAAAAGCCATTAACTATCCATAAATTCTTTTAAATAAACTCTAATATATGTACTTAGATAATAGAATTTTTTTTATAATAAGGAAAGAAAAAGGTTGAATTAAGTTAAGTTTTATATATATGGGTTTGAGTTCATTCTAAATCAGAAGTTTAAATTTGATTATTTACTTGATATAAATTTTTTAAGACATAATTTGATCTGAGAAAGTCTGATCTAACATGAAAGCTTATTTTACGACTAAATTTTATTGTGTAAAATTATAAACATACTTAAATTAGTTAATAGGCTTACGCCTATATATAAGCTAATGAATTTAAGTTTTTTTAAAAAATCATTAGTATGATATTTTTAGGACTAATTAAAGATTTTTTATGACTTATAGCCTAATTTTTTGAATAAGTGTTATAAAAATTCTGACCTGATTAATTAATTGACAAATAGGTCTAAACCTGACCCAGGCTTAATCTTGTCTAATGAATTTTTTATTTTAGTTTTTTACATTCAAATATAGAACTGCCAAGATTAATATGTAATTTTGGTTCTAATTGATAGGAAATATTTTAAATACAATAATGTGTGATGAGATTTAAAATTTTGGTAGTCATAATCTTTAGTTTTGATTCAAATGAAAGCTTTTATAATATGCAATCGCCCACAATACTACCTTAAACCAATCATGCCTACCTTCAACTTGCTTCTAAAATATGCACTGTTAGATGTTGATTTCCATTTTCGAAAAGCAGCCGAAATTTTAAAAAGGGCATGTTTAAGGATGGACGCCAATTTTTCTTTTGAGCCTCCAAGTACTTCTATATTTAGAATAAATATCTACTGTTTTTCTTAATAAATTTAGGGGTAGACGCATTAGTTCTTACCAATCATAAATATATGTGATACTATAGTCTTTTTAGCAAGATTTATTAGTTCCTAAAAAACTAATAAAATTTATATGTTGTAATTTTTATGGAGCAGGATCTTCTTACATCAGTATAAGTCTAAAAACTCTTACACTCAATTTGAGCCTTTCATTTAACTTAAATCTAACGGGTTATAATTTATTACTTCACTGGCTGTTAGATTTAAGTTAAATGAAAGGTTCAGATTAAGTGTAAAAAAATTTAGACTTACACTGGTGTAAAAAAATCCTTTCCCAATTTTTATAGACTAAAATAAAATTATATATTTTTAAAGAATGATAGTTCTACCTTCATTTTTCAAAGATCAAATTAATTTATAGTCCTCCTAGCATATTTCTTTGGTTTACGATTTATAATAAACAAAAAAACTTTTATTAAAAATTACATTAAAATAAAAATAAAATCTATGAATAATTTTTAATAAAAGTAATTTTAGACTTAAATAAGTAAGTTGTCCTTACAAGTATGTCCTCTTTTAAAAATATTCCTATGATTGTTTTCAAATAGTTCTTATTATTAAGTGATAATTAAGAAAATAATTTTTTACGTTATGTCTGCTTGCTATGTGAAATGTAAACTTTATATATGATAAAATTTAAATAAGTAATTAATTTTTAAAAAATATATAATTTTTAAATAAAAACATTTTTCATCATTATATTCAACTTATAATATTTTAAATTTTTTTAATTTTTTCTATTTTTATTATGGAAAAAAGAGTTTGTATTTTTATTGTTCAAGATAAAATTAGATATGATTAAAGTAAACATTCTTACCTCACACATAATGGAAAATATTTATATTATCTAAAAATAGAAATATGGGTTCAAAGTAACACAACAAAATAAATCTTCATATCTTACATAATACAACTTCATTTAACTATCTTAGAAATTTTTTTAAAAAAAATGATATTTTAACATTAAATAACATTAACTCGTCAAATATTCTTAAGATGAAAATAAAGTACCAGATATAATAATAAGGTATATTTTTTAAAAAAATTATAAAATTATAAACAAAACAAATTTAATGAGAACTAATTTTTAAAAAATAAATTTTTAGACTAATTATTTATTTTAGCTTTATCACATATGAAACAACATTACACGTTATAGGTATGACATGAAATATTATTTACTTAATCCTTATTTCATTACAGGATAAGAATTATTTTTAAAAAATTTTAAAATAAGATATATTTGTAGAAACTATTTACTTATTTAATTCATAATTTTAATTCTGTAAATAGTATTCTAATGACATTTATTAATCAATATTGTATTCTTATTTCTCACAAGCCGTGTTACTTGCACCAGATACAATTGTCAATAATGGAAAGCAAAGAGAGTGAAGAGCCATTTAGACGCTTTTGGCCAAACTAAAAGCAGGAAAGTATGCGCCCTTGGTTTTGGAAAGCCTACGTGCCGATTCCCCATACGTCAGAAAAATGCACATTTATTCACCACTTACAGGGTCCCCACGATTCCTGGACTCCTCGTATTGACACTCCCCCACTCTCACCCTTGTCACCTTCTCACCACTCGCCCTCTCCATTCGACAAGTGCCCCTTGCAATCTAGTTTAGCCAGCTCAGCGCTTCCCATGATTCTCCCACAGTGCTTACTCTCCCAATTCTTAAGATAACGAGCGAGTAGCTATCTTTTTGTACTCTCGGTCGAATGAAACCTGGAGATACCCCACCTCAAAACCACTCATCTCACAAAAACCGCTTTAAGGTTTTGCCCAAATAAAAGGGATTGTGGTTGTGACCTTTGTCCAAATAAACCACTCTGGCTTTCCATATAAAGCATAGTATTGCATCACATAACTCTCCTAGGAACATTCATCTACGGAACTCGTGTCTTTCTTCTCCTTCTCTCCCCTGCTTCTCTTTTTCCTTACTAGTCACTCCCATAATTTTCAAGTAAGTTACCTTCATTGATGTTCTTTGACTTTGCACTATTTATTGGGTTTCTTTTTCTAATTTCACAATTTTATCTCATCTCATTCATGCTTACAATTTCATTAATTTTTTTCAACCAATTTCTTCACATTTGTTAAGTTTTTAATCTGATTAACGCTATAAGCGTTCAAGAACTCTAGTTTTGCTCGATCTCAGTAAAGATTGTTCACTGATCTACCAGGTCAAGGGAGGTATTTGTGAAGGAACCCTAATATACATATTTTGACCGAAGATGGGAAGAGGAAAAATTGCGATCCGAAGGATCGATAACTCCACTAGCCGGCAAGTGACTTTCTCAAAGAGAAGAAATGGATTGCTGAAGAAAGCTAGAGAATTATCCATTCTCTGTGATGCAGAAGTTGGGTTGATTGTGTTCTCTAGCACTGGCAAGCTTCATGACTATGCAAGCACAAGGTAGGATCATTCTATTAAATATTAATCTTTCTTCTCCCCCCCCCCCCCCCCCCTCTCTCATAATTTACGATATAAGTGATCGAAATTTAAATTTTTTTGTGCAAAATTACTGCACCATTTTTTTTTATCTACTGAATTAAATGAATAGTATTATTAAAAATACATAGGTACACGTTGATTGGGTTTCTCATATTCTTCGTGGGTAGTGTCAGTTGTGCTAGCTGTACGAAACATTTTATATATATCTCCACTTGCATTTAATATATCTGTGGCCTATTTAATATCTTTTAGGATTGCATATAATTTTCTCTTTTCTTTGATTCGGCTAAGGTTATGATATAATAAGAAATATGCATGACCGTTTGCATGGTGTTAATCTTCATGATTATTATCCAGATCGACAGCTTAACATTGATTGAGGAATGAAAACTAGAAACTAGCAGAATAACTTCTAAATGAGAATGATCTTTGTTCGATCTTTCTTATTCTTCTTTTTGTGCCCATTCCTCTCGTTATGAGTTATTTGTTCCAAAGTATAACGCAGTGCAGTGTTCCTAATGAAATTATGAAAAGAACACAAAACATAAGCTTCCACTTTATTAATCTAAGAACAATTCATCTACATTTTGAATATAGGACTATATATATTATGTGGGCATTTTAAACTGGTAAAACCACATAGTAGATAAGCATTATATAGATTAAGGCATTTGGGTATGATATTTGGGAATCTATAATTTGCATTATGAGCATGGATACGGGAATGGATATAACTCTTTAGCTTTGATATTGTTGAAGTTGTGTTTGTTATGAATTAAATCGATAAAATGTTCTCGTAACATAAAATACTTAAAGATGTGTTCTTTTGGATAAGTGAGCTACTTTATATTCCGATTCGCGCATGCATACGATGATTGTTCCGCATGCGATGTACAAAAAGCTACAAATTAGGAAACAATAGAGTTAGAATATTAAAAAAGATTGAAGCTATCACATGTGAACGATTTCGTGTGATAAAGTGCCTTTAACCGTTAGGCTACAGCTAAATGTTATATTCTCATTTCTAAATCTCAATTTATCTTATACAACAAATCTTATTCACCTTATGTTGGATTATCATCACCCCCTCCCCCCCCTCTTTTATTAATATGATGCAATACTTTTACATAGTTACTATGTGAATTTATTTATTTTTTTCTGTAAAATATCCTTTTTGTGATACTAGGATTTGGAACACTGAACCAAATAAGGAATCCATCTTCTGACTAAATCAGCCTTAGTACTAAGTATAAAGCTATGATTCAAACCTAAAATTTTCAAATCATCTAACAATCCTAATTGTTTAAATACTCAAAATGTGTTGCGAAGCATCACATAATTATTTTTGAATCCTTACTCTGCAATTGTATTTGTTTAAGTGACCCAACTTGACTCTCTCTTGAGTTGGATCATGACAACTTTTAAAACAAATACCCAATCTAATAAACTTGAATAATGTGTGTAAAAATGATTAACTCGGTTTAATCTGATAAATTAAAATATCTCAAAAATAAAAAAACGGTAATTTATAAATTGAAATTGAAACATGGCCACGTGGATGGAGCTCGTAGAGGTGTAAAGTTGTCAAAATAGATCATCTAAGTTACTAGTTGAACTTGGAAGAGAGCTAACATAATTTAGCCCACTTTAGCAGGGAGTCAAAAATTTGATGATCTAGCTTAAAATACCACTAACAAAAATAATGAAACAAAAATATTAACTATTTATTATTATTGTGATATCTTTGAATGAAATGATATTGGTAGATGATATTGCTCTTCAATTGTTAGTGTTCCCTTCCTCTTAACAAGCTAACTCTCCTACTTCTGTCAAATTCTTCTTACCCATCATTACATTCTACTGTCATCATAACCAGAATACATATATGCCAGCTGATCTCCATCGTTGGGAATACTTTTGACACTATATATAATAATTTTGTTAGACAAAAATAATTTATACTGATAAAGTCTTAGCACACAATTAACCATTAACATATGACTTTTTATATAGAACAAAGGATAGCCAAAAGGGTGCTCAAACCATTACCTCTAATACAAGCTTTAACGAAGCGTCACACAAATGTTAATAGGCAAGTAGATTACTCAAGATCTGAATATACACAACCAAGTTAAATTTGGTTTAGTCCCTCCACTAGACTCACGGATCATTAGAATACTGATTTATATGACACAAATGATTATCCTAGCTAATTTTGAATTATTTTAAGGCCTAGTTAACTTTGATTAGTGTTGTTTAAATGGGTCAACACTTTAAAGTTGACTATTTTTTATTTATTTTTTAATTATTCGCGGTGATTTGATTGGTAAGTATGCATATGCATATAAATTCATTTACACGTATCAAGTGAAATATTATAGGCCTAAAAACTTGATATTCGTGGTTCTCAAGTGATTGGTGAAGGTTGTTAAAGGTCTCTCATGATGTTTTGATCAACTCTATAATGGATGTTTTTGTAAGAAACGCATAGATGAACTAAGAAGTCCCATTTTTATACAGGTGTCTATAATCTTAGGAGTGAATTTATTGTTTTTTACTTCTGGCATCGTAAGAGTCAAGAACTATATGTGTTTAGAGCTTATGCAACATCTTATAACACATATAATAAAGTTAGCATTTCTTAGTAACATCAAAAGGGTCAAACAATAGGGGTACGATTAGATTACGACAAAGTCATTTTAATTGTGGCCAAACTCAAGGTGAGTACGGACAAGAGTTTGTCCATGATTAGCAAGGATTTATCACCAATGTGGTGATCAAATTGAGTAGGTAGAGATTGAAAACACAAGTCATTTTCATAGCAAGTTTAAATACAAAAAGGACAATTTAACTAATTTTACAGAGATTTGATATGATATCATAATTAACACTCAGTTGAGCCTTTAGTCCTTTTCCTTTTAAAAGAAAAAATACCAATATGAGAAAACATCTATTTTTTGTCTCAATATAAAATTAGTAATTAAAAATAAGAGTAGCTAGCTCAACTAATTAGACTAAAATTTTGTTGGTCACTAATCCATAATATCAAAATAATAAAACATTAATCAGGAATTAATCACAAATCAATTAAAATTAGTTATATATTAATGCTAAAAAATTGATTTGAATGGGTCTTTTCTAAAAGAAATATTTTTTCTGTTTTGATTTTCTTAAAAAATTAATATTAATATATATATATATATATATATATATAATGTATATATGAATTATTGACTTTCTTAACTCTTTATTATATATTTTTCTAATAAAATATGAAAATGATTCTTTTATATTAACTTAAAGTTTTACTTATTTTTTATATATAATTTTACACTAAATTTATAATATATTATAAAAAATATTATTTAATTATTACTACTTTTGCTCGACTACGATTCAATCATTAAATCTTGATATTATACTTTTTAAACTTGTATTTTAATTTTAATGTTGGCTATTTTTAAGTAAAATTAAAATTTTCATCCTCAGATTTTAGTTTGTTCTTTGCATTTCATCTTTAATTTAATCTTTTAAATTACTTTTCTATGTCAATATTTTTCTCATAACTTTTATTATTTCGATTTATTCTTTAAATTCTTTTCCATGCTATATTTTATTATGTTTCATCTTTTAATTTACCTACAATTTTTTAAATTATAGCATTTTGGACGAAAAACTTTTCTTCCTTTATAGTAGTACCTTTTTGCACTTTATTCACAAATTACTATCAAAAGCTTTCAATTTGTTATCTAAAACCTTCTTAGCGTTTGCAAGCTGACCCTTCAAACATCCAGTCCTTGTTCTATTCTCCATTTTAGGAACTCAATAACAACCATAAGGTCAATGTTAGTGATCAAATGTCTTACATCGATTTTTTCCATTGTTAAGTATTTTCATATCATGAATTTATATTCACAAAAAGTATCAAAACATCATTTAAATTTAACACATGTTGAAAGACAGGGTATAGTAAAAGACTATTATCGACATGGAAAAATAATTTTGATGACTAAATTAAGTTTAAAAATTAAATTGAATCCTAAGTAAAATATAGAAGATAAAACTTATAATTTTATCTTTTTATTATATTATTTTACGGGACACCTTTTAAACTACTATGACTAAGAAGTATATGGGAATTATCCTTTTCTCTGTTTTTATTATTAATATATTGTTGCCAAGCTTGCTTTTTTAATCCTTTTCAACAAAAATAACAATTAAAATGATAATAACGGTTAATTAATTTTTATAAATAAGTTTTTTTGTTAAATTTTAATTAAATAATGTAGTCTTCATAAGTAAATTTTAAATATTTTTAATAATAATGTAGCATGTAGATTCATGCCACATCAATGATCATTGTATTATAGAATGACAATCTGAGTCAGTCAAATTATCACTAAATAAAAAATACTATCTTAAACTTTGTTTAAATTTACAAAATTAAATAAACTATTTAAAAAAAACTAAAATGACATAAAAATATAACAGTTTAAAAAATATAGTTAAGCAATAATAGTAATAATAATAAAGTTTCGCATCATGGTAAAAGCATGCATGAGTCAACTCACAACCTTAGATCAAAGGAGAATTCTTGGAGGCAAGAACTGAACTTCGGCCTTGCAAAGTACTTGGATTATCTATCTCCGTTAAATAAGAATTATCATTCTTGATCATTTTTAGGAGTTATTATTTGCAGAAATTAGAATGTTGTTAACCTCTCCTTAACACTAAGTTTAAGTATCTGTGAATAAAATTATATATATATATATATATATATATATATATATATATATATTAAAATTATAAAAATATAATAAATAATTTTTTTCTTAATAAAATTTTATGATTATTAGTTTCTTATCATCGATCTTAAAAAGTTAAGACTAATATTTTTCTTATAAACTATTTTAAATGACAAAAAAATTTTAAGTTATTTTTCTTCATTATTATACTATGTA